GTAGTACATCTAAGCAACAGGCAGATAAAGTGGTTCAGCATCGTTGCTCCTTATCTGCTCATTTAACACGTGGTGGTCACTTAATCTAACATGCTTGTCAATCTTGTTCATTTATAGTCTTGATGTATTGATTGTATGTTGAAAGGGTGTTAGAAGGATGTCCTTCAAAGTAAAAATTAAGTAACACCGGGTATATTGTGCCTGAAACGTTTGCCATGATTTTGACTGTTTCATTTAAGAAACTTAAATAACACAGGTAATCTATTACAATTAAAGTTTGCGAAAAAAAATACCTATGAGGAGCTAAAATTTATGTGAGAGGAAGACGGTCCGAGCAACAGCGATCATAAACACCATCCAGGGAAGGACGGGCCATCGTCCTGCATGTTTTAGATGTGGCTCTGCCTGAACCTCCTCAGTCAAATCATTTTGGAGATTAGCAGGCTCCTGCAAAATTTGTGTTAGGCTGAGGAAACAGAGTCAAAGCCAAACATTTTCATAGCCCTGGCACATTTAGATTTGAGGTGTTTTCATTCAACCACATCCATGATGCAGGTCCAACTCTATGAGGATGAAAGCTCTCCTTGCCATTACCCTAATTTGTACCTAAGACGTACTTAAGTCATCGGTCGAAAACCTTAATATTACTTTCAGTCAGAGGATTTGTGTTGGTAAAATGAATTGATGGCTTTAATCTTCAATCTTGTAGATGTATGAATGAATTTTGATGCTTTTTGATTGAGGTGAGCGACCTGTAGCTGGACTGTTTCTAAAGCACTGCAGGACATCTGCCTTCGACGACAGAAATCATCCATCTCAGTTGCATGTTAATGAAGATCTGGAAGTAGCTACAGCGCTGAGGAAGTTTGAGGTTTTCCATGTTACAATGCTACTGATCCAGCAAGTTTAAACCCAAAACATGTCTGTCTTAGTTTATCTAAGCTTTGTTTTTGTGCATGTAAATAAACCTAATTCATACATGAAAAGGCTAGAGTTTGCTCTTTTATGAACCTAAATGATAATGTTGAAAACTTGCCGTCCGAGCTACTTACCCCAAACAGATGCCCAATGAGCACAGAGAAGCCGATGGCAAGAGCAGCAGAGCCCAGGCGTCCGTTGCGCCTCTCGTCTGTCACTGCAAAGACGCAGACGACGAGCTGGAGGGTGAGGAAGATCTCGATCGTGGTGGCCATGCCAAGGCTGATTCCTGGCTGCAGCTGTAAGAGACCGTTTAGAAATATGACAAGGAGAAAATTGAAAACGTAGAGAAGGCGTTCTATATTTGGGACATATGACAGGTTATTTTCAATCTGCAGATTGCGTGGTCCCGTCTTTCTTCAATACAGTGGGGAAGTAAAAAAATATCATTCCCACTTGACCTCTCTGGTCACCTTACCGTATTCAGTGCCAAGTTCCCCCTCATGTTGTTGGGTGTGACTCCGTACAGCACAGCAGCACCGGCCAGCGCTCCGAGACACTGGGCCACGATGTAGAAGAAAGCCCGTAACATGGACATCTGGGATCCGATCAGGTAAGCGAAGGTGACAGCTGGGTTGATGTGTCCCCCGCTGATGTGACCGATGGACTGGATGAAGGTGGCAGCCGCCAGTCCGAAGCAAAAGGCAACATGAAGAACATTGTGGGGGCCTGTGGTCCAGCGGAGGGCCGCTCCCAGCCCAAAGAATATAAAGAACATGGTGCCATAGAACTCTGCCAAGACCGCTCGCCAGAAAGACATAGACCTGAACTCCCACATGATCGCACAAAGTCAAAAAGCAGCTTCTAAACACCTGAGGACTAACTAATCAACCTAAAGGAGAAAATGTCAAAAAAATAAAATAAAACACAGACCAGAAAGCACTCAAACAGAAGCTGTCTCTCTAAAGCTAAATGTAACAACACATAAAGGCCTCAGCATGCAGCTGTGAGTAAAAAGCACAAATTCCTTCTTATATCAGATTTGTGTCATAAAGAGCTCCTGGGTGGAGCAGTAAGCCAGTCTCTGTGCATCTATATGCCAACCCTCGCTGGTTGTTAGAAGAGTAACATGGATAGACAAACGTTAAGCATGTCCTGCAGACATTAAGCCTCTTTATCAGAGCGGGGGACCTCAGAGGCCTTTTTATAACCCACCAACGCCATGACAGACTCACCGAGCCACGGGGAGGGGTCAGCGGACAATGTCACTAATCAAAACCAGGTCACTTAACCCTTCTTTTGCTAGTTGGTCCTTTGGACACACAGTTTGACACATGGAGGCTGAGGGGAGCTGTCCTCTCCAGAAACACTCCTGGCTTTAGTTGCTCTGAGAGATGATTTTAAAATAATGATTGAAGATTAAAAATTAACACTCAGTAATAAAAATCTTTTGGGAAGAGCAACAGTATGTCTTCGCCAAACATGATTTTTTTATTTATTGGGGATTACCTTATGATGAAAAAAAAGTCTAAACAGCCTGGTGGAAACCATGATGGCAGTAAAGCGCTTTTCTATAGAAAAAATGTATTTCTTTCCACTCCAGCGTCACAAATTGAATGACTTTCGATTTCGCATTTTCCCATTCGATTTCACGTAATTACAAGGTTGGAAAAAAGTTAATAAATCTAAGAATGAATAACACCCGAGTAAAACTTCAAACACCGTAACAATAACTAATTTCGTTTGGTTTTGTACTTACAAATAAAAATTAATTTGGTAACTTATCTGTAGTTATTGCTATCTTAATAACTCGTTTTTTATTCTGAGTTACTAATAAAAATATGAAGAGAAAAAGAGGTCTTGTAACCAGGTCTATAAGTGCTGCATGCTCTCTCGGTTTGGACGCACACATTTCAGCACTTCTGACTTTGTCCAGAACTTTCCATGTATTATTTCTCGGCCAGTACTTAGTATATTCACCGTTATATTTTAGATTATCGCCACAAGTTTCTGTTCTGCTTCAGCTTTAATAGTCTCTCGTTTTCCTCCAGCAGCGTTGGTAATGTGGTCAGCTCGTGTCAGTGAGCTGACCAGTTCCTGGAGCAGCAGCGCCTCCCCAAACCATGACACTTCCACCTCCCTGCTTCGCAGCTGCCGTGTTTCATTTTACAATTTTTTTTTTTTTTCCAGAATGCGCTTGGTTGTTGAGTCTGTTGAGAACAGATGACTGTTTAAGGTGATTGCTGTCACATTAAAAAAACTTCTTTCTGGCCTTATTTTCCTCTTACATGCTAAACGTGTTAGAATGCCAGACAATCGCACATACAGTATAGAAACAACTGATCTTCCTCAGGTTTATGGCCTTATTTTTAAAGCAGAACTCAGATGAACTCTAATCAATGCTGGAATCCATAAGGCTCCAGTAATTTCCCAGCCTTATGCTCTGAATAATAAAAAAAAGCAGTTCTGTAGCAGAACTGATTAGACAGAGTTATGCATTGTGTGCTGTAGATTGGTTTGTAGGCTCAGGTCGGATAAAGCGGTGGAAAATCCACGGCCACAGAGGAAGAGGGGAGAGCAGTCGTGGTATTGAGCTTCTGCACTGGAGCGTCATGCTGACCAGGACAGCTACAGGGACGGCCGCTGCTCTCTGAAAGGTTTATGCTGACCTTACTGCTTTTTGTGCCTTTCACGCACGGAAACAAAACGCTAGCAGTAACAGTTTCTGCTGGTTTCTATGGTCTGTTTGTCTTGCGGTCAGATTCCGATCTGCAAGTTCCCTTCCCTGCACTTGTGAGTGGCTAACTTAGTACTTGTTTCACTTATGATCTGTATTATGTTCCAGATTTTTATCAGTGGTGTGAAACATGTTTACTAATTCAACTGGCAGATTTTCGCCAAACAGCAAAAAGAATTTGGTCCTTTTGATTTTGACAGCTGTCTTGATTTGGGGGAAATTAAATAAATATCTAAACAAAACAACGATCATTTCAAAAAGTTCAGTGGTTAACAGGTTGGGAAGTTTTGTCCTCCGCCTCCCCACATCTCCCTAAGCCAGCTTTTGTACATTTAAGCCTGTAGTTTTGTTTGGAGGGTGTTGGAAAAGATGCTTGCATTGTGTTTTTCTGTTCTCTTGGTCCAGACTGCTGACGCACACATAACCTGCAGCCCCTAAACATCTCACACTGGGGGAGACAAACCCTATAAAAACTGTACAGTAGCAAAGACTTGCCGGAGAAGAAGAAATTTTAGACGACATAATTCAATTACCATGCCTTTGAGAAGCCCTTTGCTCGCATAATTGTGGACGCAATTTTGTGTGTGTTTGAAGGTCTGCAGTGGGCTTTACACTAGATTTGATGAGCATCAAACAATGTATAAAAGCTAACTAGTTGTATTTCCCTGATGGTGAGGGAAGTCTGAAATCGAAGGTCACAGTTTGAAAATTGACAGAGAGCAAAACTGAACCGCAACTAATTTACACCTCAAATATTCAGAAAAGAGGAATGGAACTGGGCATTTCCCTTTTTTAGTCTGTGTGAAAGTAAAGATGTGAAGTCCCTACCAGTAGCTCCAAGTAAAAGGATGCAGAACAGGATAGAGGTCCTTATAAGGCAGCACAGTCACATGCAAACTTGCCATTTAGTTCCTGGGTTATATACAAACCCCAATCCATTCCTCTTCATCTGGAGACAGATTTTGTCAGATGAGTGAAACTGGAAATAATTGGGAGTATCAACAGGGACATTTTTTTTTATCAAAGAATGAATAAAGTTGGTTATTTAAATGTCTGAATTTGACTAAATTAACTCAATTAAACATGTTTTTAACTCTGCTTAACATCCTGGTCTCTTCTCACATCTCAACATGACTGTCTCAGTTTTTCTTTTTTTTTATAAAACCAACTAAGAAATGAATGCTTGTACTTATTTCTGTGGTCAAACATTCACAAGGAATTAGTTTGTGAATATTTGCAATAAAATGCTTGAGGTCAATATTAGAGTGGGCACATGCATGTTCTTCACTCAGGCATATGCAAATTTCATTATAAACAAACAAACGTGCAGTGATTTATTGTTAACACAATTTTATTGAAGTTGCAGGTTGTATTATAGGTCCACCCTGGTACAGGAACCATATTTGTAGTAAAAACAGGATGCGACTGCCAGAGTGTAGTGAGTGATCCAATCATTTGGATAACATAGAGCATCTCGACTCTGGATGGATTTTGAAAAATACCAAATAGGGTAATAATTATTGCCCCGTTTATGACCAGTGGTCAATGGTTCAAGAAAGTTCATTAGAAATCTTTCTTACATTCCCACTTCCTACAATGAACACATTTAACACCCAGAATCAAACGTGCACTCAAAGCGTATTTGTTGTTCATGTTGTGCGTAACTTGTACTCAACTTTTAGAAAAATGCATAATCTTCTCAATTCATAAGATGTAAAAAAAAAAAACACTTATCTGTTTTATTTGCAACAATGAAAGATCTCTTTAATGGATTGCATAAAGAAAACAATGCCTTTCCAAGGAGTGAACACATAAGATCGTAAACTCAACCGCCATATTTTTAACACAAATCTGTAGTTGTAAGCATGTTTATTTTAAATGCTGCGACATATTAAAAAAAAAGTGAAATTACTGTTAAATATTTGCATATGACCAAAGACACTGGAAAACCAATTTAAAGCAGAACTCTTGCCACTTAAATTAAACATAAGTGCAATTTACAATACAAACATTAAAGAGGGGGAAGTCTGTCATTAGAAAATGTTCTTCTTGGAAAATAGGCATTTTCAGTTTCTTTTTTGTCATTAAAAATCACAATGTGTTTACATAACCTGACAAGAAAAAAAAACAAACAACAAAACAGAAGAGAAACAGGGTATAAGACATCAGCACATCCCAATAGTCATTTAAGCCAGGGAACAACAACATTTTCATTTGAACAGAATCGTCCATGCAGAACAAAACAGCAAAGCACAGCACTGTATGTTGTTATGGATGCCTGTGCATGTCTGTATCCAACAGTCACTCCCCGTTGCTTTCTGCAGGGATTTCACTTTGGAAACGGGATATAGAGAGAGGTTCATCTTCAATGTGGCTGCCAACTCATTGCCTAATTTCGTTCTTCAGACTCACAACGTGTTTTGATCTCTAGTGAGGTGGCAGCCATGTTTGCCTACTCGAGGTCTGGCATCTCTGCAAGAGACAAAAATTCCAATGACGGGAACATTCACGACGACGACAAATGCAGAAACAGGTTGAAAATATCTAAAATCAGTAATTAAAATACAACAAAAGACACTTGATTTAGTATGCGGCACATCCACAAAGTGTTCATTCATAGTGCTTCATTTCTTCCTACATTTTGGTATGTCACAGCCTTATTCTGTTTTAAATTAATCTATTTCCCAAAGAGTTAACTTTTTGTCTCAACAGATCAGAGAATCTTATTTTTCATGGTTTGAGTCGTTCCAAGTGATGTTTGGCAATCTGCAGACATTCTGCCAGGAGCCTTATGAAGGAGAGGCTTTCGTAAGTATGACTTTCACATGGACATGTCTGACACCAGTCATCCCCCATTTGCAAATGACTTCTCAATTGGAGCTTCTAATCAGCAAAAGTTTTTCTGTTTCCTTCCCCACATTTGTGCCTCAAGACGATCCTCTCCCAGAAGTCTCCAAACAGTTCCTGTCATTTTATGTTTGACCTCTGACTTACTCTGTCAACTATGGGAACTCACAGGCGTGTTTAACAATTAACTGAACTTATCACAGGTGGACTCCATTTAAGTTGTAGAAACATCTCAAGAATGATCGGTGGAAACAGCTCCAATTTAAGCTTCATGACAAGGCTGTATATACTTATGTAAAAGTAGTTTCTTGGTTTTGGTTTTCTACTGTTAATAAATATGAAATAAATAAAAAGCTTTCTTGCACACTATCACAATGGGGCCTTTGTGTGAACAGGTTTGCTGGACGAGTACAGTAAAGAGCTGTGAACACTTTCTAGACGAATTGTGTATTTCAAGCATGTTTTTCTGTTAATTGCGATTGTGGTTTACAGCTAATAATCACATTATTTTTCTTAAATTACACAAATGAAAAGGATTGAAAAGAAGGTGGCTCATTGCACACTTGTCCAGAAGATAGACATTGCCATCATCTCAAGGTGGCCAAGTCTTAAGAGGTCACTGCTGTTCAGAGTCCTGTGTGTTAGAGGAATAATGGTTGAGTGAAAAACTGATAAAGTAGCACCAGCAACTGTTACCAGGAGATTTTAGAGCGCTAAATTTTTCCCTCTGCTGATGAGCTTCATGGAAATCCTGATTTAATTTTTCAACAGGACTTTCCATCTGTCCATAATGTTATAGTTTGAAGGCAACGGTGTCAGAGTGTTTGATGAACCAGCAAACTCCTCTCACATTCCTGTGTTTGAATTCCTTTTAAATTAGTTTTATGTACCATTTACATTTCCTAAGAAACTGAATTTTTAGCTTTTAGTTGGCTGCAAGGCATATTCATCAACAGTAACAAACTTGAAATGTTTCTCTCCCATGGTGATGACATTATACGAGTTTCACTTTAACTGAACTTGTGACATATGTGAACCTTTCAAAGATATACTACTATGTTCTACATATAAAGAATGATATTCCTGTGTTCTCACAAAGAACAAACCACAACTTTTTTTAAAAGTCATACTTACTTTCATCATCGCTGTCTGCAGAATCATGCTGAAACACAAAAACAAAATTATGGGAACTCGGATTTCACCTGGTAAAATTCAAGAAAATCATCAGAAAATAATAAAAATAACTCACTTCTTCTGCACCATATTCTGCACCATCTAAATCGGGTAAATCATCTCCACCCATGTTGTTCATCATCTGAAGAAAAAGGAAAAAAATGGCATACATAAATCAGCATGCCTTTTCGTAATGTTTGTAAGACCTTATAACTGTTTGAGTTGATTTGACTTTTGTGTTTAATCTATTTGAGTTTATGTCTTAAGGAATACCATTATGTCTTTATTGTGATGTCTGTGAAAGAAGATTTAATTGTAATTTTTGTTGCGGACCCCATTAGTCTCTGCTATGGTAAAGGGGATCTTTGAATAAACAAATAAGTGCTGACAGTCTTTCACTCAATTACCTCTGAGAAGTTGTCAAAACTTGACATGTCCTCATCCGAGTCATCTTCCCAGTCTTTCCAGTTGTTGAAATCCACACTCAACCATTTAAACTATGGGATGGAACAGAGTTATACAACCAAAAAATACTATTTACCTGCATGTAAACAGCATATTGTCAAATTCTTAAATTCAGATTCATTAAATGAATGAATAACTTTGTATGTGCAGGGCTTACATACTGTACAACAAAAGTAAGACCTTAAAAGATCACGCAATTTATTTAATACAACATTTAAAAAGTAATAAAGCTCCATTATTTGACCATCTCACTCCAATTTAATTGAGAAGCATCAGATTTCTTCCACATCTGTACAAGATGTCATGATCTAAACACCTAAAGACAGCAGAGTTTATTTCCAAAAGATAATCACTTTTCTTTTTTAAGTTTATGAAAAGTACTTTTAAACAGGAGCGTGAAGATGTTTGTATGACAATAAACAAGAAAAAATGAATGAAATTTTGAGATACCTTTGCTTTTTCTTTGGTAAGTCGTGGCCATGATTTCCCAACTTCTGCTTTTCGTAAACAACACTGCACAGACCTGTCTGTGCGGCTGTGTTTCGATTGCTGTAAATGACAGATTATCAATTTATTAACAGCCCTCGAGAAGTAAAACTCAACCTAAAACTTTAACTAGTTCTGCAGATGTTAATCTTACTTTGGGATCAATTTCCCCAAAAAGCTCAATTTCATTGTTGTATTTGTCTTTTCCGCTGACACAACTGTAAAACAACAGAAAGGGAGGTCACCATGCAGTACACCCAGTTTTCTTTCAATTTGGTCCACACAGATGACTGGATTTCACCAAACACATCACATTTTTAAGCAAATACAAGAAGACTTACAATCTAGTGCACTTTAAACACAACTTACCTAAACTCAAATTTTGACTTGTCCAACTGGACATGTACATCTTTACTGTCTTCCACGCAGAACTCTACAAAAACAAAGTCTCGTCTGTCATACCATTTAGCTGTGGCACTTAGGGTGGGAAATGGGCCATGCTGTGGCAAATGGGCCATGCTATTGATGAACAGAAAGAAGGAATTAACGACAACATATTTCCTTTTTGCATTTACTGTCTACCTAAGTGGTTAGTTTTGATCTGCTGGGTCACGAGTGCAGGGTGAAGCCATCTGAGTTATGTTACATTTTATTACACAGAGAAAATATCATACAATCATACACCATTTAACAGGGCAAGACCGAGTACTTTCGGTTTTATACAGGAATTGTAACCAAAGAATATTTGTAATCTGTGTTTTATTGAATGTCAAATATTTGTTCTGGATTACACTTACTGGTTTTGAACAAGGACATGTGTTACTTTAATTCAAAGTGAAACCTTCACACCATGACAGCATTTCTCCTCGCTTCTAACTTTAACCTAGTACTGTTAGATGACTTTAGCTTTCCAGCTAATGTTAACATAACTGATATAAGGGGCGCATACAGCGTAAGCTACAATTAAAAGTTTTGGGCTAGTTGGAATAGGTTATGTTGAGCCATAAGGGTACGTAGGTTTAGCGATTTGTGTTGGTTTTTAGTACTGTAACAATAAATGTTAACTGCACAGCTAATGCTAACTCGTGTGCTAGCTCAATGAGCTAATGTTAGCTAGTTGATCCGCATTACAGCACTTCAAAGACTAAGCGATTATTGGCAACAAGCGAATACTAGTAGACACATAAACAAGACTTACGTCTTTACAGTATATCAGGTGAACTTGTTCGTCTGACTACGGGCTATCTAGCGGTGTTATATAATAAAAATCCGGGCAAATGTGATGACTGAAGCCTAAACCTAAACTCTGAGGTTTTCAACCGAAACGTTGAAGTCCCTTAAAGTATCGCGGAGTTGTCGCGATATCTCGAGAAGACGTTACCCGCCTGCTTGGAAGCGTGGGCACGCGCTGTGAGATAATTCTAGAAACAGTGTGCGACGCAACAGCGCCCACTGCTGTTTAGCCACAAGTAATTCATGATCAATTCAAACGTCCACGGGATAATTTCGAAAAATCAAATCCTACATTAGTGTGTAATTGATCTGAGTAGCACTTCATTTACTCAGTTAAGTTACCGAAATAAATGAGTTTTCTAATATTATAATTTTTTGAACATGACTGTGTATATAAAAAAAATATTCACCAGCGACCATGCACAGGAGTTTGTATCTCCAATCCTACTGCAGGCAAGAATCAATTATAAAACAATAAAAACGCATAACCTTCCAGTCCAATCAGCTCTTCTGGTTCTAGTGTACTCTGCTTCCCCAGAAGTAGAACCAAACACAGGGAAGCAGCATTTATTTTCTAAAATAAACTTGCAGACAACTGTAAAAATGCTGAAACACTAAATTTCTTCAAATCAAGACTAAAAAACCCACCTGTTCAGAACTGCGTTTGAGTAAGTGAAACATTGATCAACATATTTGGTCGATGATGTTGATGATGGCATTTGACAAAATGTAATGTTTACCGCTTCACAATCGGCTATGTTTTCATGGTGTAAAGCGGTGATGCTCAAATGTGCTCTATGAATACCTTTTACTTAACTTATAATGAAACTACACAACCTTCTGAAAGTGAATTATCCAGAGGCTGAAATGAACACATTTGTAAAGCTTGAGTACATATTTTATTGGATACAATATTCAGTTTTATATATTTCTGGAGCAAACTGAGACATAACAGCCCAGTTTTCTAAACAACAGCTGGATCCCAAAGAGACTGAATGCAGTTCTTGAACATCTTCAAAACTAAAGCAATTTTGTTCAATAAAAACACTCAGTAGCCTGGAAGCCAAAACATGTAAAACATTATGCACAACTAAAACAACTGCACATTTAGTTAAATACCCGCAAGGCATAAAAATTAAAATTATACAACATTTTATTATTTATGTTTGATACATTTCTAATTATTTATCTAAGAATTGTTAGATAAATTGTTAGATGAATTGTTCAGAATAATTTTGACCTTGTGAAAAATTCCTATTGCAATATTGCATTTTACCACAGCCATTTGATATTTGTTGATTCTTTTTCTATGTTGCATCTTGTTTTTTCTGCGTCTTTCTTTTCAAGCATCCCACTCACTGGTCAAATTCACTTTTATCGGTAAAGCAGTTCGGACGTCATTGAGAGAAACTTCAGAAACGTTAAAGATGGCAGAGAACGCAGTAGAACTGTAATTATTTACTTACTTGAAATTTGAGTTGCTGCTGGGTCAGCATCATTAAAATATTGCTTCACGATGAGACAAAACTTGATGGAATTCATAATGAAAAACGTTAAAATTACTAGTATCTCCCCGAAAACCAAACATACTTTATCCATACAATAAAATATGTGCATTTGCACCCAACTAATCCTTTAAATTAGCCATTACTGAAGAAAAGAAGTGCATCAGTTAAATCTAATTTGCCTCCAGGGGCTTTCTGCAGTAGCTCTGTAATTATAGGGGGGATTAACTATTGCTCACTGTGGTGCTAAGTCGTTTCTACCAGTCTTGTTGCAGGACAGTAAGCCGTAATGTGATTGTATTGTTGTGATCTTGACACCTAATTGCCTTTTCTTTTGTGTGGTCCATATGAGTGAACATTACATACCCCTCTGACTATAATTATGCCATTTGTAGAACTTGAAAAGTACATTTTTGCAAATCTGGCTTTGGCTTGGGTGCCATGCATACAAACAAACAAAAGTGGCTTAATCTCCCACAGCAAAGCACTTGATGTCTGCAGAAATCTTTGTGCAATGCAAACAGCATGAGAGGGGCTCCTGTAGTACTTCAAACGAACTGCTTTTTTTGGGGTCAATTGTTGAGTCACACGTTGCAAAAAGGTTTGCAAAAGCAGTTTCTGATATCGCCTATTTTCTCCCAGCCTATCCAAGGAACATGTAATGCTTCCTGACTAAAAACTCTTTACAGAATTTTCTGTCCAACAGAGAGGAAGGACTGCAATAAAGCCAGGCACAAATTCAATAGCTGCTCCATTTCCAGTGAATAATGGAACAATCTAGCAGACAATGCATGCAGCCAGGGGGGTTTTATGACAATACGTGATCATATTTCATATATTTAAATTTAACAAAATATCCACAGAGGACAAAGTGAGTCATTGAATTGGTTTCTGTGAGAAGATTGAAGAAAATTGAACAATTGTTCATATTCTGGTGATCTATTAATGGACTAGAAATGTTTTTAAAAAAATAGCCAGTTATAACAACTGAACTTTTAAAGGGTTTAAATGTATATGGAGAACAGTTTAACATCCATCCATCCATCCATCCATCCATCCATCCATCCATCCATCCATCCATCCATCCATCCATCCATCCATCCATCCATCCATCCATCCATCCATCCATCCATCCATCCATCCATCCATCCATCCATCCATCCATCCATCCATCCATCCATCCATCCATCCATCCATCCATCCATCCATCCATCCATCCATCCATCCATCCATCCATTTTCTTCTGCTTATCCAGGGTCGGGTTGTGGGGGTAACAACTTAACAGTTTAACAGAGAAGAATAAAATTTCAGTGTGAACTCAAATAGTGTCCTTGGTATTCCTCTGCGAAAAATAAAAATTGCTGACAAACCAACAACTAATCTAATTTAGCAAGTAAAAAAAATGTAGATTAATGTAGATTACAACTGCTATTTCTCAAAACTCTAATACAACATAGATTGCATTAATATTGTCACTTTTTAGTGGCACGGACTTGAATTTGACAGGGAATGTGGGGAAGGAGCTAAAGATCAGTGTGAAGACGTGGAGCCCTTCCAATCTCAAATACATGGAAGCTGTTACAAAAGACAAATCATCAACATCAACTGGCCTCACGTTGCTCTGCCTTCCAACACATGTGACTTTGAATGAATGATCAATAGGGTTTAATGTCATGTTGTTTAATGTTTTTCCAGAAGCACATTCGTGTGGTCAGACACTGTTGTTGGACAAGAAGGCCTGGCTCAATTTCTGTACCGTAATTCATTCTTCAGGACTTTGTAGACCACCAAGCTCAAACAAACATGAAAGAATCAAATCAACACTCCAGGGATGTTTTTTGATTAGATATAACACTTCAGTAGGTATATTGGTAAAGCAAATAAAATAAAATAAAATGATTTTAATAATGCCTCTTTAACACTTACACATGTCAGTGTTGGTTTCTTGTTGAAAAATATGTTTCTCTGCCTACATTTGACATCCTGTGATCACGTTTAGTTGTATTAATTTTATTCAATTTTATTTGCATACAACTATATATTTTTTTGTCTGTTCTGACTTCATAGCCTTAAGAAATCATAGAAATAGCCTTAAGAAATATTTCTTGACTCTCACTTTAGTAAATTTGGATGAGGAATAAACTAGATATTGTGCCTCAGTTTGGCTCCACTCAGTCCATTTCCACCGCATTTAATATTTCTGTTATGATGTCAATAGATAAAAACGGATGAAGGTAATTCCGGTATTGGAGTGGGTATTCCCTTAGAGTGGTAATAAAGGCAACATAGAACCACATAGACGGTTTAAACCACCGTTTACTGACCAATAATGTCACACCAATGACGAACTTCCTGGTTTTGTTTTGTATCCTTCTCCCTCCTCCTCCTCCTCCCTCTCTTCATTCCTCCTCCTCCTCCTCGTTCCGTGAAGGAAAGTCTATTTTGCGCCGCGCAGCTGACAAAAATGACGCGACAACGACTGGATGAAAACAGGTTGGAGTAAAAGAAAAAAAAAAAAAAAAAAAGAAAAGAAAAAAAAGGCAGAGTAAATTATCTGAGAGGACAGCGCAGGCTCGCGGCTCAACGTGGCCGAGGCTGATAAACGGACAGCGTCGGTGAATGTTTTCCTACTTTGTGTTGACGCCTGCAAGGACGTAAGGAGCGCAGACGAGGCCGAAAACGACAGGAAGGAGGTGTTGGATTCAAGTGGGTTTTCTATTTTTTTTTTTTTTTTGTATCTTAATCCGGGAAAACATTGGGATATCATGGCTTGACAACAGCAGGATCTTCACCGTCCTCCGCCGATAAGCTGCAGTGAGAAATAACGACCATCTCTCTCTCTCTCTCTCTTTTTTCTCTCTCTCTCTTCCTCTCCGTTTCCTTCCGCAGATGGAGCTCAGAGCTCTTTAATCCAGCCTCACAGCTCCCTGACAGGCAGTGGAGAACTACTCAGAGGGGTGAGGTGTGCAGAGAAGAAAGCGCTTTAGTGATTCATGTTGTGTTATGTTGCCACATCGCAGAATTCCCCGCTGCCAGCTGTCTATATATATATACAGATATATATGTGTGTGTGTTCCAGACCTTCAGTTTTTTTCTCTACTTCTGTTCAACAGGACGCTTTATTCGCACTTGGAGGAATTTATGGGATCACAAGGTAGGATTGTTGGGCCGATCATGGGTCTGTCCTCTTCGGATGATTCTCTGTCAGTGCATGCTTTCAGGGGTTTGTTTTTCTTCCTGTCCTCTGTCGCAGGCTTTAGTTCCATTTGTTTAGAGTCTGAACATCCCAGCATCAGCTCATGTGTTGCCATCAGCCTTTATGTTCCCCCGAAGCAAACACTTGTTCTTCAGGCATTTAGACTGTCACCACTTCGATGAGCCGCAGACAAATGTCCCCGAGTTTCGCACTTGTTTCCCTCCCAGTGTCAGCAGATTAAGCAGATATGAATGCAAAAAGGCCAGAAAACTCTTGGAGCGGTATTTGAGCTAAAGCTAAAGTAATCCCCCTAATACATCTATCAGTTTAAAGTGCAAATGACTGTGAGCAGGGCCCAAAGTTGAATGGGGCCCCAAGCAGAATTCAATTTTGTAACCTACTTGCAGATTTATCATTACTAAACAAA